ATAATCTGGCGCTATTCCAGGGAAKGGGGGGARGGGGGATCGGGGTAGCTACGAGGCGTTCCTGTAGCTGAACGCATCTGTGGTCAAAACTCAATGTCACGGATTGCTGCGATGGGCATGCTGACTGATTCCGTGCGCTGCGTTGCCTCAGGGCTGGGATTTGCGTTTGGTGGTTGGCGTTGTGGGCGATTTGTTTTGGGAGGGGGAAAACCGAGACCTGCAAGTAAACCGACGCCGCTAGATCAGATCAATGAGTGAAGAATCCGAACAAACGAAGCGGATCTGAGATTTCGGTTGTATTCTCGATAGGAGTTACCTAAAATGCACTGCAGGTGTCGGGTGAGAGGAAGGATCAGGAACGCAAACTGATGTCGCTCAGAGCCAAACCCAAAAGATGAGATGAAGAAGAAATTTTGCACTTTTTTTCTTTCCATTCATAGCGTGCACCTGTCTTGGAAGACGGAAGCCTGGTCATAGCAGGTTTATTTTCTCATTTTGAGTATCTCATGTACTCCCACGCCATCGCCCCTATTGCAACAAGAAACACAGAAAACAAGCCCTTTAAGCACGAGCCTTAGCAGCCTCACGGCCCTTTCCGATGCGCTCCAGAATCTGTTCGCGGTCCTTGTCCAGCTTGAGCTTGGTGATAACGACCTTCGAGGGGTGGATGGGGATAGGGACGCTCTGGCCGTTGGACTTCTCACGGACGACACGCTCGACGTGAACGCACCACTTGAGACGGTAGACGGTGGTGATCTTTCCCTCGCGTCCCTTGTTGGAGCCGCGCACAACAGTGACCTCGTCGTCCTTGCGGATGGGGATGGCGCGAACCTATAGGTTATTTGTCAGAACGAAGATCCTTCACAGTTCTTTGCAGTGATCCCTGGCTATGCTTCTGCAAGAGTCCCTCCGAACAAGAGTGTAGAATCTGATAACGGGAGATGATCGGTTTAGGAGAGGTGGCATAACGGGAGGCGTACGTTGTACTTCTCACGGAGTTCCTTGCTCAGAGGAGCGCTCATGATGACACGGCGCTCGCTGGAGGGAGCGCTGAAGTGCGCCTTGCGCGACTTCCGGCGGGAAGAGGCGATTCCTGTCATTGAAAAAACCGAGAGTCAGTATCCTCCCAACACAATTCCTAAGCGTAGGCGGTTTTGAGAATGTGTCTTCCGAGAAAATAGAATATCAAAGGCGTATTCGAGGAACAGGACGTTGCCATGAGGGTGAATTGAGCAAAATAAGTCGAACATACCGTTGTTCATGACGGTCATCTTGATAGGCCTCTTTTTCTGATATGACCGGGCGTGGTGAACGTTGTCGTCGTTAGTCGTCGTCGAAACAGGACTCTTTTTGCTGTATTCTCAAAGTGTTAGCCGAAAATGAGTGGGAGCCCGAATGTGCGTCACATGACATCCCGCTTAGGCTAGGGTTGGCGGCTTTCCGCTGATTGGCTGACATCGCCCCTCTCTCCGGAAGGGAAAGTTCCCTACCTGACCTAGGTATTGTTGCGCCGCCTCCACGCCGCGCGCGGATCGGCCTAAGTCTCACTACAGAGCGTGTCGCATTACTGATTCTCGCATCAGCACTGGGTGAGATGAAGGTAGACACACGCCTGCGCTAAATAATTCTTGTTAGTGACATGTTTGACCTCACTCCGACCTCTCCGTCCTTGATCTTGCACCATGCTTAGCGTCTTGAAACTGGCCCCTCAATTGCTCCGCAGTAACATTGTCCGCCCAAGATGGCAAACGATTACTTCGAATGGCTTCAGAATTACCGAGAGACCGGTCCTGCTCGGTTCCCTCAGCAGAATCAATATGCTTCCTCCCTGTCGCCGTTTCAGGGCTACACAGATTCGTTCTTGGATTTCCCCCCTACATCTCAAACGCCATTGAGCGACATTCGCCAACCGTACCATTATCAAACACATTATGCTCCTCTTGAGCAATATGTGAGGCCACAGGACACAACATATTCCTCATCAAGTACCTACCCTTTTACCTCTTATCAAGGAGGACAGCAATACCGAGCGAACCCACCTGCGACAACACAACAACTACCTCTTGCCCCTCCTCCTCCTCCTCCTCCTCTTTCGACCCTCTCACAACCCCTGTCTACGAACTCCGGTCTGACACAACTGCAAAATACTTCGTCATATCTGAATTACCCGCCGTTCGCGCGAGCGACCGAGGCCGTTAATGCTGACGTTAGTGGGCATGATATGAAGAGGCGTCGTCTTGAATCACCCGCGACTGTGACCTTGTCGAAGCCGACGATGCCGCCTCAAGAAAGTCTCTCGAAATATTCCTTTACTCCGCAAGACACCACGGACAAGAGCTTTCTGAAAACGCGTACGGACATAGCAAAGCCTCTGGACGTGACTGACGCGGCGGAAAAGCTACAATACGATCCGAAAACAATCGCGCGGGATGTCTTGATTGCGTCCGGGCGCCATCCTACGGAAGCTCCTCTGAACCATCATCTATTCCGCCTTCGAGATGTCTTCGTTGGACTCGACACTGCTTCAGATCTGGAGACATTTCGCTGGGATCTTGTAGACCCGGAGGAGAAGCAAGCCAATAACACAACTACAACACGTGACATACACCCGCTCCCCGCGCCGGCGCATGTGACTTCCGCCATGGCGCGTCCAGCCCAACCAAATCCTCCATATGCTGGTGTTGCCGCAACTCTGCCGTACCATCAACAACAACATCAACAACTAGGACAACTACAGACGTTACAGGCATCGCAGACAGGCCCTCAACAGACGTCCCCATCCCAGCCCAATTCTCAGAAACAAGTACAGCCTCGCTCTGATCCCCAGTCTCGGTCGCACCCTCCGCCCCAAGTACAACTGCAAGTACAGCCCCCATCGCAGCCGCAACTAAAGCCCGAACCCTCGATTCAAATACGTACAAAGACGCAGCCGTCTCCTAAGGCAAAGTCCTCCCCGCGTCCATCAACCAATATGGTCGGGAAAAGACCTCCTGGGCGACCGCCCGCGAGCTCTAAGATTGAGGTTACAATACCCGTCACTTCCCAAATTTCGTATCAGGTCTACACGTGTGGCTGGGAGAATTGCCAAGCGGAGCTGCACAATCTTGAAATGCTCAAGAAGCACATCTTCAAAGTTCACGTGCCTTACACGCTCACGTGTCAATGGAAAAACTGCACGTTTCAACAGAACTTACCGGCGGTGCAATTGTACAAGCATGTCCTTTCAGAACATGTGGTGTCTATCGCATGGTCGCTGGGCGACGGACCATCAGTGCCTGCAACTGGTGAGAAAGCATCGAGATGATTGAATTTATGTCTTTTTGTTTTGTTGCTCAATGGATTCGGTTGTTAACAACTTTCGTCTTTACCTGCCATATAGAGGGTCGTGTTGCCGGCGAAAGTCCCGTGCCTAAAACCATCCCGGAGTCTATTCAGCCAGGGGGCGAAGACGCTCTAATATTCCCTGCAAGCTACAGTTCGATTCGCGCATTCAACCGTGTCCACGGCAACCATACACAAATTGAGAAAGCCCGGGAGATCTTCAAGGCGGTACAGAGGCTGAAGGAACATATTGGGTATGGATTAGATCCCGGTGGATGCCAGTTGGCTACGCCCGCAAGGATTGGGAGAGTGAGCAACGATGAGGATGTCTATGCAGTGAGGCATGAGTCTTAGCGCATTTCAGGTCTAAAGATACCCCTTCGATCTTGTTTTTTATTCAGCTGTCGTTTGTATCGTGATTACAGCATTTGGCGTCAAGGACTTTTTCGCATCGAGCGGGCTCCTCGGCTTTTTGATTCTCACTGAGATTGGTGCATCTTTCCAAGTTTACTGGTCATAGCATTTATCCAAAGCCCATGAACAATTTAAGAGGACGTTCATTGTGCCTGCAATGCTTGCACGGGCATTCTACAGACAATGCTGCTCGACTCTCTGAGTCACCTCCGTACAAATCAAACCTCCTTCATGCTGAAACACGATCCCCGAGTGTACAATAGCTACCGGTCCTTCCCACCTCCAATTGCTGATGTGCCCCCCGCGGCTGCGGCCGCCGCAGCCGGTGCCGGCGTTACACCGGCAGTAGTAGAACCTTCGACCGACTTCTTGACATCGGGGACTTCTCCTTCAATGGCATCGTCCTTCGCATTGACTTCGAGGAAATGGTAGAGTACTATCATCATCATAGCGCACGATCCAAGGAAGATGGCGAGGCGGTAGAGGTCGTCGTCAGAAATCATGTTGAAGTAGGGAGTATTCTTGTACGCGAAGTATCTGAGTTGAACGCTAGCGTTGGAATAGACAGTCCAGGGGGGTTGAGCTAAGTAGCAGTGCGACCGGTCGCAAAATGAAGTTGTTTGGGAGTTGTCCTAGGGAAATTAGTATTTGGGATAGATTGTAAGGAACACGGTGTTTCCAAACGCTTACCGAATGAATTGACTCTGTTCAGCAATCAATACCCCCGCACTTTTAAACAAACAATGGATTTAGGATTCTGTTGAAGCGAAGATTGACTGCTGAAGATGAGTGGCAGACAATGGTGGTATCGCAAGTTGACAGCTGGAATTACGGAAGTAGATTAATTGGATGTCGTACGTAGGCACTTCTGAGGTAAGCTCCTCCCCCCCGGACTGAGCCACCACTTTCTAAGTCTTGACTCTCAATTGACTGGTCGACCTATCAGCCTGGCTTCCATCTAGACTAACTGTCTTCATCGAAACCACCGACTTGCAAGCGGTTATCTTTCACTTTTCTGCAACCGATCCCTCTTCCTTCTGGACTATATAGGTGTGGATGGTGGTCCCGCTCTTCTCTGACCTGCCTGTGTATCTCCCCCAACTCTATCAAATGCTTCCCACGGCTCAGTTGAGCTAATTGAATCTTGGTTACCATCTCATTTCATTCCTCATCCTGTTAATTCCATCGTTCCCCCAAGCTCAAACTACGTGTCTGGGCGCTTTGATATATGTTGGTCAATTGATAAGCTGCGTGGCGGTTTCATCATGAACGGACCATTTATTCCAACCAAGAACCCTTCTCATCCCAAGGGCTCTGGTCCTTCTCTCCTGGCTTGTCTTCTCTGTCGCCATAAGCATCTTAAATGTGACGGGGTGACCCCTGTTTGTGGCCGCTGCGCAGCCACCGGGGCAGAGTGCCAGTACACTCCTTCTCGTCGTGGGTACAAAGGACCCTCCAAGAAACGGCGCGCCAACCCGTCGTCTCCCGAACGGACACCCTCATCTGATCAATCGTCTTCGTTCGACTTTCAGTCGGTCGCACTATTGGATACTTCCCAGGATTGGAACGTTCCGGACGGACTCTCTTACATCTTCCCAAACGGCTTCCCCTCTTCAGACTCGAATAACTCCATTCTCAACAATGACAAGGCACTAGTGTCGGACTTGCCGGTCAGCAACGGTTGCCCTCTCACCCCAGATTCGGTGAACTCCGTCGCTGGTGATGGTTATCTCATCGATATTTACTATACGTACTTTCACCCGTCGCATCCGATTCTTCCTCCGCTTCGTATACTCTATCGGTCTCATGTGCCGCCGTTTCTCGAGCATGTTATCAAGTTCATCGGTTCCCACTTTACCCCAGCCGCAAATAGTGAGATATATAGACCCTCCGTGATGTCGTCAGCGATGGAGCAAGAAAGCTCCGTGGAGAAGCTGCAGGCACTTCTGCTTCTGGCTGTTGTGCTGCATTCGCGAAACGAGCGGGCAGAAGCCGGCCAATGCCTCGCTACAGCCGTCGACCTGGCCTTCGAACTCGGACTTCATCGTGAGAATTTCGCCATCTCCATGGGCGGAGGTGATCCGGTACGGGAAGAAAGTCTGCGACGCACTTGGTGGGAACTATTCGTAGTAGAAGGCATGTTGACTGCCCTGGGTGTTCAGCGTACCTTCCGCACCAGCCTAGTACCACTCGAGGTCGGCCTTCCGTGCGAGGAACGCATCTTCCAGGATGGATTGGCCGCTCCACTGCCTCCTACCATTGCTCAATTTGACGACCATATTTTTGCCGACGAGGAGCGAGATTTTTCCTCATACACCTATCGGATCGAAGCTGTTCGTATCCTCGGGCGGGTGGTTGCTATTCAGGACATGCTTGAGGGACAAGAAGACCATGTGGAGGCGATCGACGCCCGTATCAACAGCTTTTTCCACCATCTTCCCGAATCGAAGGCCGAATTGATGCGTCCAGATGGGTCAGTGGACGAGATGATGTTCCAGGCAAAAATGATCGCGAACGGAGCGAGTGTCTATCTCAATTTTCCAAGGTCCGACTTACTATCGTCACCTGCGGTTGCTGCTGAAGTCATCTGCGGACATCATGGTCCTTGCAGCATCCCGGCCTTCACACACAATGATCATGCAATGAAAGCTCTCAAGGCAGCCAAGGACATCTCACAGTTAGCCTCCATCCGATTGCCAGTCGTGAAACATACACCCTTCTTCATCTGCGCGCTGGTTCTCAGCTCCATAGTGCAGTTAGCGTCCTGTTCCGTGAAAGCCGGGAGGATGCCTGAACCCAGTCGGGAGCGACTGAGTCTCACAATCGGTGTCTTCAAGACTCTGGCCCGTACGTGGGCTATCTCCCAGGCGATAATGCGACAGGTCAAGGCTGTGGCGCGCGACGTGTTGGATGTGGGACTGCGGCCCGCCGCGGAGCCTTTGCAAATGGATTTGACGACTGTCCTTGACGGTGGCCGGTTCTGGTTGCCAGAGGCACTCCCCAGCTGAATAGCTGTGCCGCCATTGCCTTTCAACCTGATTGATGCCCGATATGATTCTACGCAGTCTTCCTTAAAAACCTGCCTTGATACCCACAACTATGGTTGAAGTCATATCCGAGAAAGCACATGATTTGCGCCGAGAGCTAATGGCCCGCTTGATGATCAACCGGACCGTGGACATTGGGTGCGGCCGAGGGAACACGTTACCATCCCATGTATTCTCAGCCAAGATCTGTCGTTGCTTCTGACAATGTAGGCCAGAATCTCATCGAAATGTCTACCCCTCATGAATTTATGGAGATAGCGAAAATGAAGTACCAGGTCAGCGTCTAGCATTACATGTCGCTTCTTGAGTGTATTATGTGAGCGATAGACTTCAAACTGAAACGTATGCTTTTATCCTCTAGACTGTCACCAGTTACGGATCAAACATATTGCACTAAAGCAATCTGTCAGAAGAAGGGACTAAGGAATTCAAAGCCGAAGCAAAGTCAAATTGGGTATCTCAATTGATGAAGATGATAAAGCTAATGTCGATCGCTGGCTTGCTCGTTTGCCTCTCTGCCAATAGACGCATGGTTTGTGCCCGGGTTCAAGAAAAGGAAAGTATGAGAAACGAGACCAACCCAATTAACCCGCCGTAACTCCCCAATCTAGATGATCGTGTACACTCATCAAGTCTATTTTCTTCAGAGCAGAAATAAAAGAAAGGAAGGAAGGAAACAAAAGCATAGCGGTTTCTAAGGAACGTAATGGTATCATAGTAAAAGCAATAACATTGTATGAAAGAAGAAAGGAAAAGAAAGTGACGTAAGGGATAGTGATAGCTGGTCAGGAGKGATTGGCTTCAGCGTCCGCTGACTGGGTCGGTCCGCCGAGTTCCCTCATTTCTCGCAGGGCCTCCGCCCGTCGAGCCACGACGTCTTCGCGGCGGACGACGTTCCGGAGGGCCTCGCTGGCCTGGATGAGCCCGTCGATGCTGATGGCGTGGTTGGTCATTTGGTGGTTGATGTATGTGTATAGTTCCGCCGGGGTGGAGCAGTTGGTCAAGAGCTGCTGCTCGTTGAGTTTCAGGAGGGCGAGAGCCACCTGGAAGAGGAACGTGCTGCCGCCGCCGCTTCCGGATGCGATGTCCTGGGCAGAAGGATTGCTCGCATCGTTGGTCTCCCGGGTTGAAGAGTTGGAGCCACTTCCGGTTCCAGGATTCACGACGCTGGTGACGTTGAGACAGAGCACCACATCCCAGACGCGGTAGAGTGCTTCGGCGGACAGGCAGTCGGTGAAGACGGAGAGGAACCATTGGAATGTCAGGGCTTCGAGCTCGACGCCCAACGAGTCAAGGTGTGCGGCTAGTTTGGGTAGTACTTCGGAGATGTACTGCCGCAGGACTACCTGATCGGCTCGTGACGCGAGTAGTCCGTGATCGTAATAATGCTGAGGGAGGATGTTTTCGATCATCGAGGCGAGAATCCAGAAAGCGTCCTCTGCGGTTGGGGTGATGAGAAGCAGCGAAGCAGCAATCAGGTTCATCCCTTGGCAGTATCCCACCTCCGGGTTGCGGCGTGAGTATGCTAGTAGCACCTCTCTCAACTTAGACACCCCAGGACCTTTGCGGAAGAACACATTGTCTGTCAGCGTCCGGTTGATATCCATATCAATTTGCGCCACAACTGACGGGTCCGGTTCGCTGCCACCGATACCTGCCACCAGATCATCATAGTAACCAGGCACTCGCATGGAGGATGCGCCGCTGCATTCGGACCAAATCTTCGCCCGCAGAGCAACTGGAATCCCGCCAAGAACAAGCGATCGGAACTCCCGCCACTTGGCACGACCAACTTTGCCCTTGTTCCCCAGATTAGCTATCCCTACTACCTCGCCAACAGGCAGAGATGCTTCTGGTGTATCGACAGATTGCGCAGCTCGAGTAGAAGTCCCAGCAGCTGCAGCTTCTCCCTCCTTCCTGCGTTCTGCGCGCACTTTGCGCATGAACTCGTTCCATCTGACAGTCCGGTCTCGCTGGAGGGTATCGTGGAGCTCTGTCAATTGCTCAAGAAGCAATTTGACTGGTTCATTCTCGCCTGTAGACGCATTCGGCGCGGCTGCAGACGTGGGCTCATCGGTGGATGTTCCCGCAAATTCTGGACGATCGGCGACGACCGTGGATGTAGATGCAGATGGCGGAGCATTTGGGTTGACGGAAAGCGAGCCATGTCGGTCAACAGCTACTGCAGTACTACGCGGCGGAGGTTCGCTTGCGGTGGTAAGTGACACAATAGGGCCGGCTGATGGGGTGTGAGACAGTAACTCCGTTGGCCGAGTTGGAAACTTTAGATAATCTTGCCATTTCCGTATAGCGACAGCTCCAGCTTCAGGATCCTCGGGCGAAATAGAGCAGGGTGAGCGCTGGGGCTCCGCAGCTCCTTGCGACCTGATTTGAACGTCAACATCGTCATCTCCATCTGATGTCTCAGTGCGGAAGCTGCTGAGTGTTTCTGCGATGCTCAGTCGATTGCTATTATTCTTCAACATAGCAGCTTCTCTCTGCCTCTTTTTCCGACGCTGGTCGTAAATAAATCCAAACCGATCGGTGAGTAGCTCGCCAGGCTGATAGTTATACATATAAGAAAGGGTTGGAGGTCGAGATTCCATGGGGAGAATAGCATCCATTTCGACAGGCCCCAGATTAGTGGAGCTCTTGTCGCCTGCATCGGGGCCTGCGGCTTGAGATACGCTTGAGGCTGCATGTCGTCGACCAGAAGGAGCAGTTGATCTGCCGGTCCCAGTGGATCCGTTCGTAGGTCTGCCAGGCGCACTGTGTATGCTCGTGTTGCTGTTGATCCGTTTCAAGGCCGCGACCGCTGACAGGGCAGTTTTGGGATTCGCGGACGTGGACGAGGAGCCTCTAGTCTTGTCCTGATGCATGGAGGAAGCTCTGCTGCGGATGGATCCCGCGTCATTCTCATCTCGACTAGTCTGAGAGCCTCCAGCAAACAGTCTGACCGTCCATGACGATAACGATTTTGTCGATTTGCGGGAATGAGTGCTAGCATCGTCTCCACTGACTACTCCAGCAACTGCACGTTTTGCAGCTATGCCACCTCCAGTACGTTCGCCAGGAGGTTGAAAGAGCTGGTCGTCGAGCGCTTTCCGGCGATTATTGTTTGAAACACGCCGATGGTGGGCATCCTCCTCGACTTCCCCAACATCGTCCATGATACTGCTCGCTCTGCTGGTTTTCCGACTGGCGGTACCACTGCCAAAGATGTAATCCTGCCAACAGCGAACAGAGGTCTGTCTCTGTCGGGTGGTTCCTGAATCGACACTCGACGTGCCTGAGCGCGAGTCACTCTCCGAGCGCTGCGGTCCACGAATAGTCGCTTGAATTTGATCCGAAGAGTGCACCGAGTCGTCCTCGTGTAGTAGTGGTCCCACCTCGTCGCTCATCGCCTGCTGCATGAGCCCATGAACCCCTGGCCCCCGATGCCCTGCATGCTCCGCATCGTTTTCAGCGTCCTCACCGTCCGAATTCTTGCGCGGAGCATTCTCAAGCGCGAACAGCCTTCGCTCAATATCCTGGTTGGAAACGGAAACTTCACGAAGCATCCTCTTCAATTCCCGCTCCCTAGCATCCGCTCGCTGACGCAGCCCCGAAATCTCTGCATCCCGCTGGGCCAGGTCCCGGGCGAACTGCCTGACCAGCTTCACTGCGCCCATACTGGCTATTAATCGTTCGATATTCGAGTCATCCGCTAGATGCAGCGCACCCGGGAAATCGTGCATGGTGAACGAATCGTCAAACAAGGCGGCACGGCCGCCAGTGCTCGCCGGGAGCGCCCCGGTCAACTTGGCTAGGGTGGACCGTCGGTCACGGGCGACATCGCCGGCACCTTCTTCCGCGTCTCCGTCCAGCAATGCGTTCGTCAAGGCGCGATTCAATGCGGGCTGGCCTACGAAGCCGTCGGGTGAGCGGTCCGGCGAGAGGGAGGGGAAGGAGGTGAGGTCGGTGGTGGTGGCATTGGAGGAGGCAGAATGGCGCTTCTGAGACCGAGCACGAACGGTCTTAGCTCTTTGGCTGTGCCGCGAGGTGGACGAGGTTCGCGAAGAGGATCGACGCAGTAGCTGCTGGATATCGGGCTCCGCCATGGTTCGTGGGGCGGTCAAATGAGCAAACTGAGCAGGAGGGATCAAGTATAGACTTCATGAATGCTTGATTTATATTCTCTTCCTGCGCAGGAGCGCCGATGTTGTATGATGGGAGTCTTGCAGGTCTCAAAGGATTCTCGAAGTCCTCGCGTGGACCTTTCCCTCCCCACGTGTGGTCCGATGCTTTTTTTTGGGGGGTGAGTAGATCGTTTTCGACGAAGCCAGGAGGGACGGTAAGCTCATTCCAGCAGGCCAGCGCAACACAGCAGACCGAATATCAGAATTGTCCCAATGCCAAAAACAGGAGACAGATAGCAAACTCTCACAATCACACAGAGGGTTCATAAAAAGGGAAACAGGGAAACCAGTTCTGGTCCATTGTTTCACGCGTTCTTGCTGGCCGCATGGGCCATGACGTGTAAGTGGTCATGTGACTTACCCCAGCCCGCTGCATAATTCATACTCCTTGATGAGTCATCTGTGCCCACTGTGCATTAGCTGGGGGCAAGCCTCGGCTCTCCGCAATGAGCAGCCGAACATTCAGCTAGAGATCACCCGAAACAGTGCATCGACGCGGATTTAAAATGACGGTCTATCTAGAGACTACTCCGCAATATTTCCGATTGTATAGCTACCCTTCATATACACATTTCCCAATCCGACACCTAATCACATAGCACCATCCTACTCTTTGCACTATGTCCGGAGTAGCCAAACGCCGCCTTCAAGCTGTCAGCCAGCAGCTGGTCGAGGGTATCCCCGATGCAGGCAAATTCGAGGATATCCCCAGAATCCGCACGGTTGCGTCTGACTCTGTTGGACCGTAAGTGCTGCCCTTCTCTGTGCATTCCCCCTGCTCTA